GGGCTTCCTTCCTTCGTGACTTTGGAAGCGGGGCGCTGACTGTGAACAGCTCCCTGCCCCGGCGCCAAGCCCCCTGTTTTAACAGGCTGAGTTATGAGCATGAAAAGTAAAACTATCCCTCGCCTCGTCCCCGGCTGCAGCAAGCTGTCAAAAGCTAGAAAAAAAGGTGACAGTTTGTAACCCCCACAGGGTGGGGAGGATGGAGTCAGCCCAGATCTTTAGGATTTCCTTCTTGAAGCGCAGGGAACATTAACAACTCACATTTTTGTGCTGACACTCGGGGGCCTGGGAAATGCGCTGGATTGTTAGTAACATGACACAAAGCTTTGGAGAATGCTGGGAAAGTGGGTTTGGAGGTTGAAAGTTTGGGGTCAGAGGCATTCGGGGGTGGACTAAATTAGAAACTGAGTTCCCAAGAAAATTACAGACAGTTTTACGATTCCAGAATAAAAACATACCATGAACTCAGTCCAGGCCAGGCACAATATACCCCAGAGCCAAGGAGTGAGAGAAATTCTAGCGCTCCCCTTGGATTCTTATTCCAAGCCACAACAAACACAACCGAGTGGCCATCTGGAAGGGCGCCATGGTTCAGCCCAGTGCTAAATCTCCTTGGCTGGAGGAGGAGTCTTTGGCCCTCACCAGACAAACCTAGGGAGGGGCAGGTGCAGGCAGGCTAGTGATGAGGAGGGGGTGGAAAGGCCACAGCAGCAGCCCCTCCACTGCAGGGCCTGAGGGGGCCCTGTGGAATGGCCCCTACATGCAGCCAAGGGGGGTTCCATGTTTGTGCATTGAAGCTAGCAGGGGAGAGGTCCCACACAAGACAACTTCCCCCAGCTCCAAAATCAGAATTCAGACGTGCATGTGTTTCCACCTCTCCGGACTTTTGTGCCCGTCTCGCCGGGAGGAGGCTTGGACTTAGGACGCATTCTCTCTCCTTGTCACTAGCTGTATTTTTGCATCTCACATTTATCAGAAACGACTACCCAGAACAGGGCCTGAAGGAGCTGGAGCTGGAGCTGGAGCTGCCACCTGCACTGCAAACCTGGCCCCCCTTCCGTAATGACAAGCCCCCGACGGTACGTACCCCCAGAGCTCCCCCTGTCCTCAACACACCCCTTACCGCTGCCACAAGTGTGCTCCCCACAGGCCCAGAGCTCTGCCTCCCAGCAGAGCCTTCCCCAGACTGCCCCCCGCATCCTCCATTAGCCCCCCCAAAGCACTAGCACTGGGCGGGCACTGCTGGGAGGGAATTCCGGTGCAATAATGGAGCAGCACGCCTCGTCCCGTCGACATTTGTACCCGCTGCGGGGAGCGGGACAGGGGTGTGGCACATACCAACTGCCGCACCGGTGAGCGCAGGGCAGCGGCTCTGGCAGGCCCGGAGCAGGAGGACTGGCCTGTTTGCCCTGCTTTGCTGCAGCTTGCACGGCTCCTCAGACCAGTGCGGGTGCTCGGGAGAGTTTTCTAGCAGGACTCCAGGGCCATGCCCATGCGGGCAGGCCAGAGGATGCGGCGCGAACAGGAATGGAACACAATTTCATTTATTTCTTAGGCATTTCTTCTGTACCATTCTTTGCATTCCATGTCATGCCCTGCGCTGCTTGTCTTGCTGTATGTGCTTAAAGACATGGCCTCCTTCCCTTCTGTGTGTCCATCTAGGAGCTGGGGCAGTAGGGGTCTGGGCCAGGGTTCAGGAAAGGACATCTCTTCAGGCATGTTCCCTCTTTGCCCCCCCAACTGCAACAGCTCTGCAGAGGGGTAGCAATGGGGTGAGCACCACAAAGAATGGGGTAAGGGCTGTGCTTGGGGCTGTGGGTTAAGGGCCCCTTTGCTGTGTTGTTCTACTTGCAGATCTTGGGAGGGACTAATGAATCCCAAAACAATTTCTTCAAATGCAGCCAGCCAATCCAGCTAATGGCTTTGTTCAGTCCCTGTGTGAAGGTGTCAAAATTGCTTATGAAGGCCAGTTCCACATTTTCTCTCTCTAGGTGGCTCCTGAAATTACTTTGCAATAGAATGGCTATTTTTACATCCATTAATGAGCGTCCAGGTAGGTTAAAATGCTGCCCAACAGGTTTCTGTGTGTTACCATTGCAAATATCTGATTTGTGGTCATTTATCCTTCGTCACAGAGACTGTTCGGTTTGGCCAATGTACATGGCAGAGGGGCATTGCTGGCATAGATCACATTCGAGGTGTGCAGTTGTATGGGCCTCTGATGTGGTTACGTTCTGAGATGGTGTCACTTGTGTAGATGTGTGGACGGAGTTGGCAGCAGGGTTTGTTGCAGGGCTAGGTCCCTGGGTGAGTGTAACTGAGGTGTGGTGTGTGGTTGCTGGAAAGGGTTTGCTTCGGGTTGGGGAGCTGTCTGTAGACCAGGCCTGGCCTGTTTCCCAAGGCCTATGAGAGTGAGGGACCATAAATCTGTGGTTATCACAGGGACTTCAGACATCATTACAGCCATGCACAGTGATACGGACTTTTCACATCTTGATTAGAAAAAGCTTCATTCACTGATCTTCTAAACATTTTGTGACCCGTCACTTATACACGTATGAATAAATTGCCAGCTGCTCCCACTGCAATTAACGCCCGCCCTAAATCTCTTCCTCATTTTTGAAAATGTCAGCCTCTCTCTCTCTCTATACAGCCTGGGTAGGCCCAGAACCTCATTGTTAAACCCAGACCCGAAGAAGAGCTTTGTAAAGCTTGTCTCTCTTGCCGACAGAAGCAGGTCCAATAAAAGGTACTCCTGCCCCCATACTGAACAGTGTTATTCTTCACATTGACAATCAGTGTCAATGACAAGGCATCATGCTTAACACTGAAGTTCTACAGGCAAGTGTATACAAATACCATGTCTTCAGTCCTAGCCTGCTAACTTCTGCAGGACGTGACTGACGTAGTGGGGGTACCTTGCTGGTTGCTAGGCCTGGGCAGTGGGCGACCTCTGCTGTCTGTAGCACGACCCAGCAGGGCAGGGGGTGAGTCATTATGCAAAGGGGGCTCCAAACCTGTCTGACCAGCTACCCCCCAGGGAGAGAAACAAAGGAAGGTGGAATGCCGCCCCTGGCTGGGGGCAGGGCTGGAGGAGAGTTGGTTAG